CAGGAAAAAATATTGTAATAATTTTATTTGCATATCGCCCAGCTCTATATGCTATAGACTTCGCAGACATTTTTGAACATTTCTTTGCCGACTTCACTATGATGCGATGTGTATGATGTGTGTGGACTGTGAAGCACTGGCAGTGTCCGTTGAGAAAATGTATACAATGTAACGTTTTTTAAAGTAGATGCATCTGACTGGTTGCATTTGAATTGAGGTGCGTAATAAATAATGATACTGTTCTGTGAGGATGTGCTGTTTTCTCTTTTTTTCCCCATCCCATCGAGACCGCTATGTCAGAGACCAAGACAAGACCGAGACCAAATAGAGTTGAGACCAAGACAAGTCTATCACTGTAAATTTTCCAAATTTTTAAATTATATGTCAGCACGTTTTAAAAAGAAATAAAAAACTGAAAAATGCAACGTGCATTTATAAGTAATTGCAGTTGTGTTTTCCAGAATCACAATGTGAGATTGGGCGTTTCTCAATACCAAGAACCCAAAGATCATACTTGTGGTTTTGGCAAGACCGATGTGATGTTCTCGCTAACCTGCCTCTTAACTTAAAATCATGTGATTGGTCTTATTTGGCTTGTTTGGCTAGGATGCTGTCACTACAGGATCGGAATTAACTGTGGATGCCTGAGCTGAAAGCCAAATGCTAAAGCAATAAAAACTAACTAAAACTGGCTAAAAAAAATAGCAAAAACATTATTTGTACGTCCAGTTGCTGTGAGGAGCTTTGCCAGTGTCAATACAAACAAAAGTTATCAGCCATTTTATGAACACGAATGCAAATAAATGAGATGGACCTTAACTTTCCATTACTGTTAAGGGTGCAGGTTTGGCAGATGGCTGACAGTCCTTTATTAGTTGAATGGTTTAATCTTTTAATAGTTTAGCACGCTTGATTCAGATCGGCAACGCATGTATGACGACTCCATGGTTGACTGAGATCTTACTGTACTCTGTAGTTCTGTTCTTAGTGTTGGAGCTGGGGTTGGGCAATGGAAAATGATGTAGAATGGGTACATGAGATTACAAGTATGGTCAAGTATGCATTTCGAGAAAGACCTATTGTGAACATCTATAATCAGAGTTTCGGTTTCTCTGTGAAGGTATTTTAGAAGCCCATGTAGATTATGTGGTGTGATATGTTGGGAATGTGGTGCTCACTGTGGTTGTATCACATAAATTGTGATGTTTCTGAGAACCTGTATAACCCAGGGGTGCCACCACAATTCATGGACACCCAGTCATTGACCAAAAATACCTCATATAGCGACACCATTCCAAAGGTTTGTTTTGGTCTGTTTGATAGGGAAAATATAATCCTACATTGTAATGTCATTTCCAATTGTTTGAATACAATGATAATTGATTATTTGCTCTACAGTATAATAGCTTATTCTATTAGTTATTACACAATACTGTAAACCTTCAGTTTTTACATAAAATTATAGTTTTAAAATGTATTGTAAAATGTATCCTGTACTTGTACACTTAAACCACCCTAGTTATTAAAAATACAGAAATGTTAGTGTGCAATAATACTTTTACTATTACAGTTTCCATCAATTACATCATCTAAATTTAATGAGTCATCTCTGCATCAGTGAAAAGAATAAAATTTAAATAATCTAGCTGCTCCTCTTCATAAAATTGTATATGGACAACTTAAGCAAAAAGCAGTGGTTACCAAAAGTGTTTATAAAACTTTTTGGAATTCGCCCTCTAGTGGTTCGGACGCATACGTCCGAGTTTTCAATAACAAAGAAAAATGATGTTCAATAAAAGAAACAAATGTGTAAAAAATCAACCAAAAACGGCTTGTTACAGTACAAGAAACCTTTATTATAATATATGTACAAAGTTGCACAATTTTTGTGCCATGGTTATTTTGTAACAAGTTAAAACAAAATGACCATGGCAATCATCTTTAAATGGGTCGAGTGTCCGGAAGTGAAATATAAGTGTTAATAAAATGAAAACTAAGCATTATCATCTCTTTTTATTAATCAATTATAGCACTGACTGAATATGAAAGTGTTATTAACGCACATAAACAAAAGGCTCAGCGGGGTCACTATCAGTTCAGAAAAATCATATGAGCCACATCTCCTCAAAACAGCCACATAATGTGTAAAATATTACATTTATTTTTCATTGTTTTAAAAGGTAGATTTTTATTCTTTTGTAATAAGGACAGAAACCTGAGGAAATATAAATTGCTGGAGTTTACAGTATATTTCCAGAAACTATAGTACTCAGCTTGTCAGATACTCCCTCTGATCCTTTTGTCAATGACCTTTTTTCATATGACATTCCGGATCATTTAGCACTCAGAGAGAAATGGCTGATGGGAATTATATTTGCTATCAGTTGCCAAGGGACACACCACAAAAGGGTTATCAACAGTACTCTTGTTTCATGCACTCGTGCATTTTAACGGCTCATACTTCCATGGAACACTGATACAGTATACACAATATAGGTAATGTACTTCCTCTTTAATATTTTCTTAGAATTAAGTGTAGCCCCCATAGCTCTGCTATAATGGCACTGGCCCAGTCTTATCATAAATCTCACCAAGTAGGCAAATATTTAACCTAGTATTCTGTTTTAATATCCCAGCTGTGGAAAAATTCAGAGAGCACTCTATATTTTTAAACAAATCTGCAATTTTAAATCCCGGTTTAATGGTGGTTCTGCTGGCAGAAGGCTATGCTGAGCAGCAGGTTGCTTCCAGGTTCAAAATTTCTAAGACAGCAGTACAGAAGAACAAGGTGAAGCAGGAGACACTGGGAACGACGAGAAACAAGTCAGGTAAAGGGTGGAAGCGACTTTCTAATGCCAGAGATGACCGTCAGCTCATCCGACAATTTCTCATGAATCATAGGATGACATCAAGTGACCTTCAAGAACCCATCGCAACCTTCTCACAAACTCTTTGCTCATCTGGTAAGGGGTTCTGTGGCCTCACAGTCAGCAGAGTGAGGCTTATAAACAGCTTTTTTCCTGAGACACTTCAACTGCTGAACAGTCTGACACTGAATAACTGTGGACTCATTACTCTGAAACGGTGGTTACCGGCATTTCTTGTTTATGTCTTACAACATCATTTTTATTTTATGTTTACACACTACATGGACAAAAGTATTGGGACACCTGACCATTACACCTACAGGAATTTTTATGACATCCCATTATAAATGCCTAGGCATCAATATGGAGTTGGTCCCCCCTTTGCAGCTACAACAGCTGCCACCTTTCTGGGAAGCCTTTCTGCAAGATTTTGGAGCATGTTTGTGGGAATTTTTGCCCATTCATCCAGAAGAGCATTTGTGAGGTGAGACACTGATGTTGGAAGTGAAGGCCTGGCTCACAATCTCCATTCTAGTTCATCTCAAAGGTGTTTGATGGGGTTGAGGTCAGGGCTCTGTGAAGGCCAATCAAGTTCTTCTACATCAAATTCACCCAACCATGTCTTTATGGACCTTGCTTTGTGCGGCGGGGCACAGTCATGCTGGAACATAAAAGGAACAGAACCTTCCCCAAACTGTTACCACAAAGGGGGAAGCACAGAATTGTCCAAAATGTCTTGGTAAGCTGAAGCATTAAGAGTTCCCTTCACTGGTACCAGGGGACCTAACACAACCCCTGAAAAACAACCACTTACCATTGTCCCTCCTCCACCGAACTTTACAGATGGCATAATGCCTTCAGGTAGGTAACGTTCTCCAGGCATCTCCCAAACCCAAAATCGTCCATCAGACTGCCAGACAGAGAAGCGTGATTCATCACTACACAGAATACATTTCTACTGCTCCATAGTTCAGCAGTGACATGTTTTACACCACTCCATTCGACGCTTGGCATTGCGTTCGGTAACGTGAGACTTGCATGCAGCTGCTTGGCCATGGAAGCCCATTGCATGAAGCTCCCAGCTCACAGTTTTGTGCTGAGGATAATGGCAGAGGGAGAATGGAACTCTGTAGTTGTCGAGTCATCAGATTGCTGGCAACTTCTTTGCATCAGCACTCAGTGACCCCACTCTGTTACTTTACATGGTCTGCCACTTCATAGCAGTTTCTGTTGTTCCTAAACGCTTCCACTTTGCAATAATACTACTTACAGTTGAGTGTGGAATAGGTAGCAGGGAAGACATTTCATAAACTGACTTATTGTAAAGGTGGCGTCCTATGACAGTAACATGCCTGAATTCACTGAGCTTTTCAGAATGACCCATTCTTTCACAGATGATTGTAAACCTGACTGCATGGCTAGGTGCTTGATTTTATACACCTGTGGCAAAGGGCCTGAATGAAACACTGGAATTCAGTGACTAAGACGTGTGTCACAATAGTCACAATAGTCTCAATATGTATTTAGCACCTGTGGGATTTGCATATTCCAGCATGCTCGTGGGCAACTGTATTTAGCCCCTTGTAGTGTTACTGTTAATTCTTGTTGTACTCTCCTCTTATGGCATGTATGTTTGCCTGTGCCTTATATGAACCGTGTCCGATCCTCATATGTCTTTAGGTTTGCATAAATCTCCCACCGTGTGTGTACCACAGAGTTTGGCATCTGACCTTCCTGTGTTTCCCTAATGTGTTTGTTGGATGCTAATTATAGTCCTGTTAATGACTAAATATAAGAATGTGTTCTCCCCAGCAAGCAGGTCTCCTCATCATATAAATATGATATTTTAACTTTTTTTATTGTCAGTTATTGTGAATCTGTTATCACCATACTGCTTTGCCTGTAGGAATGGGGTATCCAAACGGGGAAAGGAAACTTTTACAGTACAATTATACAATCCCAAGTCTAACATCATGTAATTTAGGTAATGTAAGCCACGATCACAGCATGAATTAAACTTTGCTGTTGTCTGTATCCTATAGTGACACCTCCAGGTCATACTGTGGTCCGACTGACAAAAACAGTCTCAACGCGGGCACCCAAAACTTTATTTCCATACAAAGAGAGTGTTATAAGAGAAATGTACTGGAAACACAAAATAAACTAAACCATGCAGAAGAAGTTAGAACAGCTCGTAAAACTACACATGATTTCATGCTCCTTAGGGAAACACGTTTTACTCGCAGACAAAGAATGGTACCATCGTCGTATAGTACCATCTTGTTTCGCAAAAGGAATAATGAGATTAAGATTAAATCGTTTAGGACATATGGCTTAAACCAGCCGAAGTAGTACGGCGAGTTTCTTCGTTAAACGCTTATCTGCGACGTACTTTGGTTATACAGTTTGTTATACAGTTTCAGAGGCGGGATATGTGGTTAGATATATGTAGGAAGGCATACCGATCGGGTGTGTATGACCTGTAACAAATCGGACTCGGCGACTCGCCTTTCAGCCTGTTCACTGATCTAACGTCTGTTTTACAAGTTCTATTATGGATAAGCAATGCAAAAGAGATACGTTTAACAAGGCCAAGGTAAGAAAAGCTGAAACGTATCAAGTTAAAACGTGCAAGATCATGCAGTAACTTATTCTTGTGTCGAAGTAGTTGCCGTAATAAATTTTATAAAACGATCACGCATGTCTCAGGTTCATGAATCTGCAGGCTGTTGTTAACGATTCCTCTCATCAGACATCTGAATTAAATATTCATAAAGTAACTTGTAAGTTTGAAGTGCAGAATTATCCTCATAAAATAAATATACTTTAAAAAAAACTTCACTACAGTTAAAAACTAGTTGTCCTAGTTTTCTCACTGCAAATTTTGTCAAAATGTGGCGGTTGCTTCTTGTAGTTCTGTTGTTCTCATTTTTGTTTTACAATAATAACCGTGCGGCTGCTAATGCTCCAGCAAGAGAAGACAATAGGTTTAACTTCATTTGCATGAAGGGTAACGGTAATAGCCTAGTGGTGTGGCGCTCCGGAGTCTCCTTAAAACACATACTAAACGTGTGAATAGTACAGCCCTTGTAGATGTGTGTTTTTAAAAGATCCATATATAGCAAAGAGTATTATTTTACTTCCGTCTTCCTCCTGTGTGTTTAGCCGTTGTCTGTGCTGTCTGTTTGGTGCCTCAAGACCCCATATACAGAATAGTAAGATTGACGATTAGTTGAAGGCTAATTGCATTAAATTGAAGAATGTTGCTTTAAATTAACATCAGTGATTACACCTTTTTTAATTTTTTTTACAAGCAGTTCACCTGTGACAGTTGCATTCGTAGTGCTACCGTAGCCTACTCCATCTACTAGGCACTCATATTTTTACTGATGTTTATGAATGGCTGAAGGGTGTAAAAAATATCAGTCTATCAGTGGAGCTGCAGTCTGCTGCGTCCCAACAAAGACCCAAAATCAGCTAATGTTAACGATCATAAAATGACTAACGCACGACAATTACATACATATATAGGCCTATGCATAATGCAGTTTGAGAAGGTTTTTTCCACCGGTATCAAAGTAAACGAATATATGAGAAATATATTACACTACGTTTAGGATTTGTTTATGAGCGAGCAAATAATACAGTCTTCTGCTGCATAACGACATTTCGGCCAATGACGGACCGCATATACGACGCTATAGTCTCATTTAGCTTGCATTTAGCATTTTGCACTTTATCAACTTGCACAGTCTACAAAAGAGCGGTTCAGGATGCATTTCACTACGTGTATAACGATGTGTGTGACAATTAAAGAATCTTGAATAAGATTATAAAGGATCTGAAAAATTCGCGTCGTTTAGGGACGTTACAGCTGTCGTGACGTCATAACGCAGCGTGTTCCTCACGTGTTTGTGGTGTAACACCGGTGTAAACAAACCTACTTATCATATTATTCCTGTTTTTACTATACGTTTTAATGTTTTGATAGTGGTGATTGTATACACAATACGTAAGGCAGTGGAACTAGAGTTTGTTGCCAGCACCTGTCCAAGCACATCTGTGAAGGGTAAATATTCTCCTCTGGCTTTTAGATACACCAAACTTCTTCAGGCTGCTGTTGTTAAACTCCATCCCCTGTTGTGAAGGATAAGTTGTTGGACAGTGCAAAAAAAAAAAGCAGGAAGTCAAGAAGTCCATACCATGTCGGAGGCTAGTGCACATTACAACAGCCTATAGTGTCTTCAGAGAAAGATCACAGAGTTGACCTTTGGAGGCACAAAACACTTAGTATGCCAGAAAACTGATATCTGATAGGTCGTTATCTCGTGATAGGCTTCCTAACCAGAGAGAGAACACGTTGACTTCCCAAATGCTTACATTATGACATTATGCTGACTGCAACAGTGGGGAAGTTATCTACAGTGATGTGTAAATGGGTGATCTTATCAGCTTCCACTTGGTTTAGTTCTTTAGACACGTTTTTTTTTATGACTAAAATGTAATAATAGTGGCATTTTCAGTTTGGGTCATTAAAACTAAATATTAATGTTTACATTATGCTTACATATTGCTCATGTTGCAAAGGATCTATAGTCATGTTTACTAAATAATTTTTTTTTTGATAATTTGATCATTTTGAAATAAACATGTATGTTTGGCATTTCAAAACAATGGAATAATTATTGAAATGACTGTATTTAAAACTTTTGTACTTTTACAGCTTTTAATGCATTCTGCAAAATGAACAAATTCAATGGACTGCATTTATATAGTGCTTTTCTACTCAAAGTGCTTTACAACTCATGCCTCACATTCACCCATCCACACACCGGTGGCGGAGGCTGCCATGAGGCACCAACCAGCTCACCGGGAGCAATTTGGGGTTCAGTGTCTTGCTCAAGGACACTTTGATGGGGTCAGGAGGAACCAGGGCTCGAACCGGCAACCCGCCAGTTGCCGAACGATAGCACTGCCTCCTGTGCCACCATCTTCCACCATGAAGTGCTAGAAGTACATTTGACATTTTTAGTTCGCAAAATTGTTTTAGAAAGAAAGAAAGAAAAAGAAACTTTATTAATCCTGAAGGAAATTGCAGTCTGGCATCTCGTGGATTTTTAAAATCTCAGTGTCAATTTTGAAAGAAAATAATGTTACAAGATGTATAATGTTCCCGTTAGAGGGGAGTTCCACCAAAAATTATTTCCTCTTTTCTTCAGTCTTTCTTCAGTTTTGTGTTCATCACACGTGGTATTTTGCAGTTTCGTAAAGTTCCCAGTAAGCATTTCAACATCCTGGAGTATACTTCCTGATTTTCATAGCACAAAGTAGTAGGCAACCAAAAAATAACAGAGCAGCATTAGGCCAAAAGCGGATATTTAAGTGTACTTAATAAAATTCAGAACCTTCTTTTGAGGATACTAACAGTTTAGGAAATAAGGGATCTTCCGCCATTCCCTTTTTTCATTTCGACATCATTAAAAGCTTCAGCGGAGGCCTTTCCCCCATTTCACAATGCAGATTCATGCCCAGCATTCATGATGTTCAGTTCAGAATTAGGTGTTGGCAGGCAACACGGTTTGTATTAAGATGATGGTTTAGAACGTTTCTGTAGTGAAAACTCAGTGCTTGGAGTTCCTGCGTCAAAAGCTGTTGTGCTCATTCATTGGATGGATAGGTTAGGATAGGTTTACCATATTTATGTATTACTGTATTGTACTTGTACTCCATAGTAAATATTTTGACCTGAGGGTAGAAACTTGATTAGAATCTTTGTTGCAATTTATTGCATAAGTTTTTTATTGCACTTTTTGACTGCGTAAAAAAGTTGGTAATGTATTCCGATACATTACCAACATTTCATGCCTGATAAAAACTAGTGTGGTTTATTTATGTATATTGATTATTTCTATATTTGGTTTTATAGTCTCTTCTCAAAGGCAGTTCCTCCATAAATACCCCTGTCTACCTTATGTAGTGTACAGTTCAACAATGCAGTTGCACGTTTACAGCGTTTATGGGTTTACTTTATGATGATGCACAGGTCAGAGGTCAAGGAGAGTCTTCTTAAATAAAAATGAAACTAGGACCTGCCCTTGCCAATCCCACTAAACCAGATGTGCATATTTTATTTATGTTTGCCATAGATTGTCACTTTATTTACTCAGAGTTTGAATGTAAAATTAAGAATTGTAACTTAATTATTTCCTGAGTCAGATTACTGCGTTATTGCATAGCTAATTTGAAAAGTCTCTATGGAGGGTTATTTGTATAATAAAGTATTTTTTACTGTTGTGGAATTGGATTCCATCGTATATTTAAAACAGATGTTCTTCTAAATGATTGTTTTGTTTAGTGGTCTCTTTCTGGTGCTTTTGTTTTCCACAATGTGCTGGGCCTTTTAGTCAGCTTGTGTAGTGTATAATCAGGCATGCAGAAAGCAATTGCTTGTCACATGGACATCGTGGATCTGTCCCAAACCTTTTGTGGGTTTTAGTCATCTGCTTTGTAAAAAGGAAAAATCTATGTTTGACGCCTTGTGATCAGGCCTGGATTAATGGTCAGATTTGCCTAGGCTACAGCCTAGGGGCCCAGAGAGATCAGGGGCCTCTATTGGCCTTCTAGATTTTTTTATTATTATTATTATTATTATTATTAGAAGTGATCAGTTATTGATGGTTGAATTGTTTGGGAGATGGTGATTGGTTCACACTGAATGGGGAGACCAATTCTAAATGTATCTCTCTTTTAGTGCTCTTTTTATACCGTGTGCTTTTTCTGGTGTAGGTGTAGTCTAGTCTGTTTCTGTGGCACAGGTCTGTCTTTATCAAAAATGCATGTATTCTAATAGTAAGAAATTGTTTTATATTCTCTTGGAATTTGCCCCACTTTGTATAGGGTCTATGCTGTGTATGGTAAATGTGTTTTGAGAGCACACTGTGGATGCAGTTGACATGCACTGGATCAGAGTGAAATGTGTTAAGGTTGCCGCTATTGAGACGTGTTTTTTAATGGGGTCTCTGTTGGGCTTATTCTGGTTGCTGCATATGACTGATGTGAAAGTGGAAGCTTGCCAGTTGGTTGTTCTTTTAATGTGACTGTTGTCCTTTGATACAGTCTCACATCCTCTTTGACTTTGTTATAATTATTTTATAGCTAATAATATTTAATAGTTTGATACTTAATTGTTATATTAGAGGAGCCTGCTGAGAGTGTAGCCTGAGGGCCCCTGAACCCGTTAATCCGCTACTGCTTGTCATGCTTCAGCCACCTGTGTCTCACCTCCTTTGTCGCTGTTGTCTTGGAGTCTGTATCAAGAAGCAGGATTTCTTACATAGCCGGATAACTTGTTGGATTTAAGGTAGTCTGGGCTAAATGTAAGTGAACAATGATAAAGTCCATTGAGCTGGGTTACCCACTGCTGCCTAAAGACATTCATGATGAATTGCCCATGGTGTGCTCCATGATAGTCTGGTTTCCCGAACACAACCTTTTTCATTGGCCTGGAAGGTGTGTAAATGCTTATCTCATCAATAAGCAGCCATAGAGAGCATTTACAATGAATCAGATAAAATTACAGCAATGGGTACATGTGACTATTGCTCAACTAGCCCTTATCCAAAAAGAAAAAAAAACTGAAATTGAAAAACTCCCATACAGGCAGGTTATATAAAACGGTGGTAAACGAAACATAAATAGCTTCTTTTTTTCTTTATTAAACAGTTGTTTACTGAACAAAGTATGACTGTCTTTCTTAAATAGAAAGACTGTCAATACTGCTGTCACCTACTAATAAAAAACTAAAATTTACCTAAGAGTAAATCAAAACAAATATTCTCTCTAATAAATAAAAATAAAACAAATATCCATTAAGGTACACGTTTAAAAAATTAACTGCACCTGATCTGTATTGTATTCATATTAGAAGCTTTCAGCTTTATATTAGAACTGCAACACAAATCAGCATCTAAAAACTACCTGTGCCGTACTTGTATTCATGTTAACAGCTTACAGCTTCACATTGGGACGTTCGCGCACATGAATAATGCTGCGGCTTCAACCGCCCCTTTGAGAATGTTGCTCAGGGGAAACACAGAAACACACAAAAGTTCCGCATTTGCTGCATTCCTTTGGTACATATGCATACCGAGCTGAAAGATCCATACCGAAAAGGTTCAGTACGAATATGTGTACCGTTACACCACTCTGACAGAGCATATATATTATTTGACCCGATCCCGATCAGCCTCTCTGTGAACCAAAAAAACTCACATCAACACAGAAACAGGCAAGAGTTCTTGTCCAGATCAGCTGTTTTAAATGTATTAATAGGTGAAAATCTTTCAGCTCCGTCTGTACAAAAGTGGTCTGCATTTGAAGGGTCTGATGTTGAACAAACCAAACACAGCTAAGCAAGTCAAGCATTTTTAACAAACCAAAAATGGCACCGTGGCAAAATAATTCCAGCACACGTATTAGAAAAAGCCCATGAGATGAGAGCAATATGTGAAAGTATCGGAAGAAAATTGTCGCAAACATTGAAATTGGGAAACATCGATCAGTTTGAAGAAAAGATTAAATGAATAATTATTGTTCTTAAACTGTACTATATGAATGTCTTTGTCACTTTCAGCTTATTACAAACATCCCCCAGCTGTTGTGTGAGGGAAGAACATTATTTGGCTGGGACATCTGTTCATCTGTCATACTAACTCACATACGAGAGCACAGTCTTGGCTATTATCTTCTCACGCAACCTCTTATGGCATCCCCACCCATTTCATTGGCTGGTATTCAGTCATGTGGGTCCCATGCTAGATGGGACCAGATGGAGGTCTTACACAACATCACCACAAACTTTCAGACCTCTCTTCTGGAAGCTCCATAGCCAGGAAGACTTTTATGCTTGGAAATCATGTTTGCAAAAGCGTTTTAAAAACAGTCTCCCGCGTTTGATTAAATCCAGGCCCTTCCTGAAATCTAGACATTATTATCAGTTATATAATAGTATTGTGATGATCTATGTTTATAAGAACCAGGAGTATGATTTACAGGCATAAATATTTGTTTAATTTTTATTGATAATATTTGTTTCAATTTAATTTATTGCAGTGTGTGTTTTGCCAGCTCGTGATATGTGTATGTATGCAGTTAGAAGGCATTTAGACAAGTGTTGCATACCAATGTGTCTTTTGTTTGTGCTTGGCTTGCATCCTGAGACTTATCTCACACCAGCTGTGAGGCAACCCGCCAGCCCACAACTGAAACGTTTTGTGTGATTGTTCTGTGGCTCTTTATCCCACCAGGTTGAGTTACATGTACACCTAGATGGTGCCTTCAAGTTGTCCACCATTTTGGATGTGGCAAAGTAAGTGGAAAATGTTGCTCGCACAACTTAGAGCACCAATTCTTTCAACATATTATCATGCTTGAATAAGAATCTTCTTTATAGTGCAATTCCAGCATTATGGATGTAACATTTAGACTCATGTTGGCAAACAAAAAATGCCTTAGCGATTATTGTCAATGAGTCACTTTGCATATCTTTTAATGTAAACTCTTAGGTTGAATATGGACAAATCATCAAACTCAAATATATATTTGCATGTTAGAAATGCATAGCATTTTATTGCATTATGGGTGTGACATCAAATAGACCTTTGCGTGGAATTGCCTTATATATTAAAATCCATAAATGTGTAGATATGCATGTGTAGATATGCATGTGTAGATATGCATTGGTGTTGTTAAAAATGAGATGCTCTGAAAAAATAAGCTGTAGAGTCTTAGAGGGTCCTGTTTTCTCTTCCTCATTTGACCACCATCCATCCCAACGGCCCCCATCGTAGAAGACGGGGCATCACCCTCCCCGCCACCGAGGATGAGTTTCGGATAGTGTGCACGATGAGCGAGCCTTCCTCGCTCACCAACTTCCTGTCCAAGTTCGAGCAGTACATGCATGTCATCGCGTGAGTCTCTCGCTTGCTCTCCTGACCCTTGCAGACCACGGGCTTCCGCACAACTGGAAACTGTAGCAACAGGCAGTCCAGGACAAGCTTCAGAAATGATTGCAGTAGCTGCGTTAGCAGCAGTTACTGTCCAGTATGTCCAGCACTGCTGTGAAATTCAAACTGGCAAAATGCCAGTTTTACATTACATTACATTACATTCCTAATGGAGCAAACAATGCTGAAATATTTTTGGGGAGGGCCTGTATTTTTCTTTTTTTCCAGCCAATTTTTTACGCTTTCTGAGTTGTGCAAGCTTGATCTAGATTAGCTAGGTTTGGTGCTGTCTTATCTGGAAGTTTTTGACAGACGATGCAGGTTCGTCATGCTTAGTGACTGAGTGCTGTAGATAATAGTATACTTCCGTGCTGGGAGGAAGCTATGTTCCTGTTTTCTGTTGCATCAAAGCAAGAAAGCTCATTTTTGTTATCGCGGCTGGCTGAAATGCACACTATCGTTTGAACCGTTTCTACTTTCAGAATCTCAGATGATAGACGTGTTTTGGGTTTTGTTGGTATGTGTTGCATCTTCGGATCAGTTCTCCTGAAGCTACAGTGTAAAGGCTAGTCATCCCCACGTGCTGAGCACTAAAATCCTCATGCTAATTCATTGGAGCTTTTTATTTCGCTCCAGATGCTAAGCGTGCTTAACTCGCATCGCCCCAATGTGCTGGCGTTTGCTTTGGGTCATGGTGGGTTAAGTGTGTAATACTGGCCTCTTGCAGCAGGCTGCCACTCTGAAGACAATGTCGTTGTGTTCAGGTTCTGTCAGTTTGATTAGCCCTCCATTCAGAAATGAATTTCAGGTCAGCAGCAGTGGTCTTTACTGGGACCGTTTTTAGTGTGGCTTAGGCATCCCAAGACTATGGAACATGGATATATGTCGGTAACACAATAATTGGTCAATGGACTAAACTTGTTGGGATACATTATTCAGCTTTTTCAAAACCTTTAACAAAATACTAAAGCTAGTTGTATTGTATTTGTTCTCTTTATATTATAAATGTCATTGATTAGTTCAGCAGCTGGAGTATTTTTAGTAAATATTCCTCATCAGTTCATCCATCCGTCTCCCAAGGTAATTGGCGGGTGGAGATGTGGAGCACCCTGGACAGGAGCCCATTGCACACTTATAACGTTTGCCGGTTTTAATCTTTATAGGAGCTGATGTTTTATTAAGGAATATGGATTTGTGAGTGATTCCTTAACCCGTTTCTACCCCTACAGTGGAGACAGGGAAGCCATTAAAAGAGTAGCATATGAGTTTGTGGAGACAAAAGCCAAGGAGGGTGTGGTTTATGTGGAGGTGAGGTACAGCCCCCACCTCCTGGCCAACTCTGTGGAACCAATACCGTGGAAGCAGGAGAAGTAAGTGGTCTGTGTACAATGTACGAATGAGCAACCCTGCGTCCTTTCCCCAGGGAAATAATAATAATAATAATGTAATAATATCCTTAGTTTTTTTGTATACAAATTCAGATTCCCCCCCCCCCAGTAATATTTAAAGAAAGCAAAAATGTTAATGTAGGCATTATGAGAGAAATCCCCTGATTGAGTAAATGAATTTATTTATTTATTTATTTTAATACTGACTGTGATTTTACAGAAAGTCAGTCAGTGTGTAAGGCACTGCCTCATTACCTCAGGGTAAACGCCGCGATCTGCACACAGCTTCCACTGACGGCTGGCCTTGTGCTTCCGCTTGCAGGGGGGACCTGACGCCCGATGAAGTTGTCCGTCTAGTTAACCAGGGCCTCAAAGAGGGGGAGAAGGCCTTCGGGATCAAAGCCAGGTCCATTCTGTGCTGTATGCGGCACATGCCAAGTAATGCCCAGCTACCTACCCCCTCCCATCTGCATCATCTGTTAATCATTTAAGACCCCCTCCTCACCATCTGTCCTGGCTGTCAGTTAGATAAGGACGGCGTTATATCTCTTCTGCCCCTCTAGGTAACACCCACTCCATAAGTGTCACAAACATCTAAAGCCAAGATGGACACACAGCTGTCTGCGATTGTAGCTCCAAACATCCAAATATGGTTAAATTCTTGTTAATTTGATGGATGGCACAGTTACCCTTCACTGTTGGGCATCTCCTGGTTTCATTCACACCTCATATTCTCATAGCGGTTGACTTTTGAGCTCCTCACTGCCTGTAGGCATAGACTTTTCTTTCTTCTGTTGCCTTTAGTGAATGGGGTATTTTGTTTGGTACAAATCACTGGCTCGCTTGTTTTTAAGTTCTTTTCATGCTACACACTCCCTTTTGCTCTCAAGGCTCTGGGGGCCTTTACTGGTGCTTTTTTGTGTATTTAAATTGCATCATTTTCTTCTGTGCTTTACTTCAACTTCAGCAGAATGAACATTTTGGCCGAGAGTTTTGACAAAGATGTATTAAGACCAGGAATGCAGAGTTAAACAGGAGACCAGAAAATAAATGTAGAGCTTTTTTCCATGTAGTGAGTTACAGTTTTTCTCGATTGCTCTGTCACGTTTCTCAAATGACAGTCAACATTTGCAAAACAGCTAATGTGATCTCCACACCATAATGTCACTTCTGCACAGCAGAACGTCCCTCTCTCATTGTTTCACACACATTTCTAAAAGTTTCAGTACATGTACGCAAATGGTCTTGTACAATTCATCATTCTTCAGTTGCTTTAATCTTGTTAGTCAAAATGGATTATGTAGTTTCCCATTGTAATAAATTTACGCCCATAACTGTACATCTATGTGATCATTGTGTTAGCCATGATGTGCAAAACTGCTAACCAAGCTTTCAAAGATATATTCCTTAAAGTGCAGTGATGCACTGTTGTTGTATTTATGGTTTCCACAATACATGATTGTGTTGCTGTTCTGTGTTCATATTACATACTGTAATATGGAGCTGAGCAAGGAGGAAATTAGTGTCTTCGCCATGAATAAGTATCAATTTGCTAAAGGAGAATGATCAGTCAGTGACAATAAGAAAGTGGGAACTGATTATCATTCGGAATTGTGGAGCTCAGGAACATACTTACTAGGGTTGTGACGATGAGGAAATTTCCCCACCGGTTAATGGACATGTGACAACACGTACCGGTAATACCGGTATCACCGTGGGGGTGGGGGTTTCCTCTTTTCCTCTTTTTTTCCTGCTTTTAAATAGCTTATAAATGCGTGCGTATTATACTTTCACTTTTAATTTTGCGGGAATTGGCAATTCGGCGTCAATTGTTTGAATGGACGACAACGAAACTACAACAAAAACAAAATCACTGATATTAAACAGAACTTTTATTAACATACTGTAACACAACAAAAAACACAACAATGCTACAGGCTGAAAAAACTGTGGAAGTTGGAACCAAACAAATAACAACCATAGAACGTTTATTACGTAGCCTATGTTAGAACGTTTTTAAAACGAATAAGAAAATAAAATAGAAAGATAAATAAATAAAGTATAAATAAGATTAAACGAATGAACAAGAAACGAATATAAAAGAAAAACTTCCAAAATGACATTAGGCTACAAAAATGACAAGTCAGCAGTCTTTAAAAAAAATAAATAAATGTGGGGACGGTATCACGGTGGAAAAGTGATGTCACCGGTGTTGCGTCTTAAAACCGGTAACACCGTCAACACCGTCTATCGTGGCAAGCCTAATACTTACACTCACATTTTGGAAATACAGTAGTACCTCGGAACTCGAACTTTATCTGTTCAGAACTCCGGATCGAATCCTAAAAAGTTCAAGATCTGATCCAATTTTCCCCATAAGAAATAATGGAAAACCAATTAATTGGTTCCTGGGCCCAAAAAATACACTTTATTATTTTTTTTTTTTAGCATTTAAACACAAAATGAGCCGGATAAAACAAGAAGAACATATACTGGACTAAACACATCTAAACACATTTATCAAAACAATAATTTGTAAAGTAAGAAAGTATATGTATCCAAACAATGTGTCCTGCCCCGATCGTGCGCTCCTTCTGTGTGCCACGCCCCCTCGTTAACCTCGTGTGGAATCCCCGTGTGATCATTTGTTTCTGGTTGTTGTCATTAGTCCTCTGTATGTAGTCCGCGTTTCAGTTTGTTCCCCCAGTCCAGTCATTGTATTTTTCGTCTGCGTTTTGCCTGCCTTACCTGTAATTAAACCCCGTATTCCCCGATACCCTGACGTCTGCGCCTTTGTCTCCATTCCGTCCCAGCTCAGCACGACAATATTATTATAATTAAATGTATTAATGGTTTATTATTAATATTAAAATAATGAATAAGAAATATTTATTTTTAAATGTATTTTATTATATAATAATATTCACTGTTACTGTCTATCATTGTCTAAATGTATTTTTACTGTGTAAATATATGTATTCAGCTAGTGTAAACATGCAGGATGCTATCACAGCTAATGCAAGGCTGAGACTGAAGCGATACCCTGTGTTTCCGCTGAGAGACGTGCCGCGTGACTCATTTCCCCGCACATACAAGTTATCTTAGGTCGGCGTTCGCGGTTTGACTTCTGAGATTCAGATTGAGCTCTAGGTAATTTTTTTTCGAACTGGTTGGTTCGACTTTTAAGAAATTCGAGTTCTAATGAGTTTGAGAACTGAGGTACCACTGTATATCTAAGTATTTTGTCTCTCATGGTTAAAACAATGCTGATCGTACTTTTCATTTTGGTGGCACTGACTAATTAAATGGTGGAATCATTTGCTTTTGAGACATTAGTTAATTGTTTTGGGTAGGTCACAGGCTTTTGCAGCTAAACCATAGTGTTGTGCTGTATGCATGAACTGTTTTGAGAAATGCTCTTAGAATCATGAGAATGTTAAATATGTTTCATGAAATGTGCCAAAGCAATCAAAAAAACTGTAAAAATTTAGAGTTACAAAAATTTAAAGTGCTGCTGAACTTTATATTAAATTTATAATTTTAAATATTATAAGGAGAAATTTAGGCAGAAGTGCTGAATGTGAATTTGTCTGCTGCCTGTGATCATGACTTCCTGCTGGCTCTTTATGGATTTGTGATTGCAGATTGGTCCATGGAAGTGATTGAGATGTGTAAGAAGTACCGCAATGACGGAGTGGTAGCAATTGACCTGGCTGGTGATGAGTCCTTGAACTGTGTGGCCAACCCAGGGCACAGGAAGGCATATGAGGTAAGAATAGCTCAGCTAAAGATACTTTCCTAGCTTCTGCATTGCACTCCATCTGTCTGTTTGTCTATTTATCTATTTATCTGTCTATCTAATCTATTTAATTTTATTTTATTTACCGTGACTCTCTAGGGGTCCCCAGGGACTGGCATCGGGAAACACTGGCCTAGGATAGTCTATGCATTAATTCATGCCTCTCTGGAGATAATTTTAATGTAATTGACATCATTATAATTACTACATTATTTTCTCCCAAATCCATTAATTTTAGCAGCCAGTCATTTCCAGATTTGCAAAAGGGTAAAAATGTAACAATGTCAATTGACCGACACCTGGGATGGAGAACAGAAATGTCCATATTTATTGAGATGAGTATTTATGTTGGTTAAAATAATTGCCAGGGAGTACATGTGTTACAGTTTTAACTATAATAAATCCATTATTACCCTTTTTCTTGACTGCTTTGGCACATTTAAATGAAACATACGTAACATTCTCACGGCTATAAAACATTAACAGAAAAACATTTATCAAAACGGTTTATGCATTATGGTTTAGTTGCGCAGGGCTGTAAATCACCAAAAACAATTAAATAATGTCTCAAAAGCAAATAATTCTATCAATGAACTAGTCAGTGCTGCCAAAATGAAAATTACCTTCAGCATTTGAGATTCAAAATGCTTAGATATATTGTCAAACTACAGTATCAGGGTAAGTCTGCTCCTGAGCTCCAATACTCTGAATAATTGTTTCCTACTTTCTCAATGTCCCTGAACTAAAAGTTTTCTTTAGGAAACTGATACTTACTCATATCAGAGACACCAGTTTCAGCATTGCGAGGCTCTACATTATACTGTGTGAAGTTCACTGGGAAGCTTTTGCAGATCTCAAGACACAGTTCAATAGCAAACAAAAAAGTCACACAGCAAAAACACAAAAACAGCAAAATGGCAACACAAGAATAACAAAATTACAACAAAACCAGGTACTTTGGGAACCAAAAAAAAAATATAGCAATGCCTCACTTTAGTTTTAGGCTTAAAATTATTACTGTAGGAAATTACATAATCTATTTGATCAACAAGACTAACGCAGCTGAAAACTGTGCCAAATGATGACTGTTACGTGTGTGCAGGCAGGCAAGGAGAGCCGGTAATACGGACAAACAGGGTTTATTTACTGGACAGGAGGCACACCAGGCAAAACGAGCACTAAACATCACAAATGACAGATCTAGGGAAACTCACGCAGATGCGGACTAAATACACAAGACAGGTTGAACTGAACAAGCAACAGGTGATTACAATCGGGGTAGTACACGTAGGTAATGAGGGGCGTGGCACACACGAGGATCATACGAGCCGGGCGTGACAATGACAATTATACAGAAAAACTTGCATAGACATGCTAATACATTTGGGAATTTGTGTGAAGCAATAAGAAATGATGTTCTGCTGTGCAGAAGTGACATTATGGTGTGGGGATTACACTTGTTGTTTGCCCCCCGTTAATTACCGTTAATGTTAATTGTCATTTGAGAAGTGTGCCAAAGCAAATGAGAAATACTATAATACGTCATCATTTTCAGGATTGAGTAGGTTGAAAGCTGGCGTTTTCATACAGTCATTTTGACCTTTTGAATGTTGACTTTTTCCAGTGTTGAGAGCTTCTTCCATTTATGGTGGTGTTTGCGAAGGGCGTGGGTGTAGATGACTGTTAGGCAATGAAGAGGTTGCTGGTCGGTCGGTCTGAACCACAGACTGGCTGATCGGAAGGGAAGCGCTCTAACCTGGAAGCCATGATGGGATCTGGCGCTCCATCGTAATTGAAGGGGCCTGGCTGCACTTTCGGGAAGGTCAGCCGGAACAATAGGGGATTAGGTCCTGGAGCAGGGTTTCCATGGAGATAATTCTTAAGATGAGGCAAATTCTTTGCATGCTGAATCGAAATGTTCCAGCCTGTCGTGTCGGTGATGCCAGGGTCACTGAAGTTGGGGGGACTTGCTGATGCAAGGATCAGATTCTTCATTGACATTGTTTTATATTTACCTCACAAATCAAATCTGTCCAATGTCCAATGAACAGGGTTAAGGTCAGAGGTCAGAATGGAATGCCGCGCATAGGTGAGGCATCATTCATACCTTTCTCAGATAACTAGGTAAAAGTACAGCACTTGACTGATCTTAATCACCTCAATTATGGGAATACTGAGTCAATGTAAAATGAATTTATTATCAGCTTAATTATTTATTATGTGGCTGTCAGCGACCTATTGCACTGAGATTCAGGGTTATTTTGAGGCTAAAACCAAGGCATCTACAGGACACTTGCCAGTGGCCATAGTTATCTGAGCTACTCATCAGGCTATTGAAAGCTTCTGGTACACTGAGGGAAGCCACACTGCTTTCAAACACAGAAAGACACAGAAAACTGTCTGAGAAAGCGCCAGTAGAATTCAGTTTAATCTATTTTCCTGTAGCGTCTTTCATAACCGGGTCACCTCAAGGCATTTGCCCAGAATGCACGGCAGCCTGCTACTACAAAATGGTGTGTGAAAGCAGAAGGATGCCAGAAGACCACGGAGGGGAGGAACCAAAAACTTGGCAGAAACCAAAAAAAGTTGGGAGGAAAAAAACTTCTGTGGCTCCATGGTCAACTGGCAGCTCAGTGCCCCCCCCAACCCCCCTGGCAGGCTAACATTATACAATATAGAGAAAGTGAGCCTGTTTTATTAAAAGCAAGGGGCGATGTGGTCATAGCCCATCTGAGAGCCAAATCTCCAAGCAAATATATAAAGTTGAAATTGAAATGCTTAGAAATGTCAAAGATTAATATAATAAGCATATTATGGTGTTTCAGGGAGGTGTCCAATACAGGAATGCTGCGCTGTATAACACAAGATACAACTGCTGGACCAAATATGACTTCAGGCAAGCCAGAGCTGGTTTTATCAGGGCTTATAAAACACCCATAAGCATCTGAGAAATGTTCGAAACCGCAGGGACACACCAAAGCGTCAGCGTAAGGGTAATACATAGTCTCAGTCATTTACTTAGAAGTGTCCCTGGGCTGACATTGGCCGTTTTCCACACCAAGATGTTTATAGGTATTGCATACGTCTCAGGAGAGAACATCCACACATAAACTCTGATTTGCCAGGCAACTGCCTTTATTTAGAGAATTCTGCACACAGATGTGTAACATCTGCTTGAATCGTTTGCAAAATGAACGCCAAGAAAAACAGTTTGTCTGTCTCCGTCACCTCCTTCCATGGCTCAGACAGACCGCCGAGTTACTGATTCTTTTACAACTTTACATAGAACTTAGTTATGCTGCATCTTTCCATTCTAATCAACCAAACACCACTGAGAGAAAGAAGCTTGATTTCATTAAATTATGTAATTGAATTAGATCAGATGAGTATGAAAGCAGATGCACCTCTGCCCTCCGGTGTGGACTGCACAGCCTACGACTGACGGATCAAAGCTATGCTGTCCTTTTTCCAAATGGAATTTCACTGTATAACCTTTTATGTTTTTTAAATAATACACACCCAATCTACTGACCTGTTGATCTGAAGTTCAAGTCTGTAAATAAGGCAAATGGCTTCTCATATTAAAAATATTTATAGCTTGATTGAAATAAGTATATTTTTGACAGACCCTTCGAAATAGTATCCAGCCTATCTAGTATCCAGTCTATCCCCTGCTAATTCTAAATTATGGTTTCATGGTAGTTTCAGGAATCTAGGTTTGTAATGAATTGCTCAGGCTATATGTGCTGTGGTCTGTGAAGCTGGGCTTCTGAGGAGTTCAGTCAGGCCTTCAGTTAAACTGACTGGGCGGTTCCTGTTGCTTTCGGATATTTGTGGTGTTTAGCGTCCCGATTTGACCTAGCCATTTGTGAAAACAAGTCCCGCAAAGACTAGGAAATGAACAGTAAACAATAGCCACAGGATTATAAAAGAATATGGTCAGGCTTGAAAAGAAGAGTCACTCGCTCCCATTTGTCCGTCGTTTTCATACGAAACCCCGGGTCCTATGAGGCCTGCTTTTGCTGTCAACATGCTGCTTCCACAAATCAACATGTTTTTGCGGACTTGCTGTGCACAGGAAGCTGTCAGAAGCAATATTCACCGCACTGTCCATGCAGGAGAAGCGGGTCCAGCCAGTGTAGTGAGGGAGGTAAGTTCTCAGAGTCTTCAGTCTTGTTTTATACCTTAGGTCAACACGTTTACCCAGAGCACTGCTGCTGAAGCCTTTAGCACATTAGGTAGCAATGTACAATGGAGGAGCAGCATCAATAGATTACCAGCAAATACACAGCAGATTCATTGTAAACGAATGTTAGGAAGGGACTGGGTTAGAATGATGCTGAGCTACAATAAACGCCTAACAAAAGGCTCAAGCAGCACTGAGGCTCTCAGATGACCTTTTGTCTTACTGTCCTGCTCTGGACGGCGTCCTCGGACTATGCCGTTTCTCAGTGAGACAAATTACCGTGTCGAACGCTAAAGGTCCTGAGAGAGTACTGTATGCCTACAGTCATTGCTTAATCTCCCTTTACTTACACCCAGGCTGTAGAAGTCCTGAAAGCAGAACGGATAGGACATGGTTATAACACAGTCAACGATCAGCAATTGTATAAAAAACTTCTGGAGGAGAAAATGCATTTTGAGGTGAGTGTGATTGTTTGCAAATGTAATTAACTGTGCATTATTAACATATCTTTTTGCTACACTGCATCCATCCAACACTCAACCAGTACCGGGACACTGAGGCAGACACAGCATCTACTCTATATTTTTAGACATAATCAGAGAACTCCACCCATAGACAGTCATTCAAACCCGCAGCCCTGGAGATGGAAGGCTGCAATGTTACCACTGAGCCACCATACCAAAATAACGCCGTCCACTATGACTGTGATGAGTTCACCGATCACAAAAAACAGGCAGCAGCTATTGTGGTGGCGAAGGACATGGATGGTAACCAGCCCCACAAAAGTATAAACGCAAGCTTAATATAAATAGAGGGCAGATCTGAAATTTACAATAGCAGTATATTAAATAAAACAGTGAGTAACTACGCAAAGCTGGTTAGCAGCTGTAACAGATGAGTAAATAGCTCCCTCTGGTGGACAGGGTCAATGTAGCTGAGCAACATTTTTTGCATACTTTTCTGGTTTTATCATTGATAGTGCCAGCGTGTCCCTGTACATTCTAATGGCGTACAGTCATCCTTACTGTTTTAATCTGACAGCTTTGAGTTGCCCTAGATTTACAAGATTGTTACACTTGTCTAAATATTCTTGAAACACCATAATGGATACCTTTAAGCACAGAAAACCGTGAAACCGAGTACCTAAGAAATGAACAAACCTCTTTTATGGTTACTGGATGGATTCATAATTTTCTAACATGCATGTTTTCCCCAAAGATTGCATTTTTTTTTGCAGTGAGTGCTTTTATGGTGTATGTTTCAGACACGTGAATGTGTTTTGTCCTTAGATGTGCCCTTACTCTAGCAAGATAACAGGAGCATGTGATCCAGACTTCACAAAGCATCCTCTCAACAGGTAGGTTACCAAGTTAAAATTCTACTTTTTATTATCATTATTATTGTTATTAAAATTATTTGACTGATACAAAACAAATGAGGCAACCATATCTCCCAGCTGATTTTGATGGTGAAAAGACATCGCAATGGATTCTGAGCCGATGCTGATTGCTTTTTGTGTTCCATTAAAAGGTTTAAGAAAGATAATGCCAATTTCTCTCTGAACACGGATGACCCTTTAATATTCGACTCGTCCTTGGAAACTGACTATCAGATCGCAAAGGAATACATGTCTTTTACCGAAGAAGACTTTAAGAGAGTGGTAAGTAGACATGCTCGATTGTGCATTGTGCGTGTCTTTGGATCACAGACATTGTACACAACTTTCAGGGAATCTTAAGACATGAAGACCTGTTTCCATTTTTATTCCAGAATATAAATGCTGCCAAATCCTGTTTCTTGCCAGAAAAGGAGAAGAAGGAGCTGCTTCATCTCTTGTACCAGGACTATGGAATGATTGAGAAGACTAGCTTTTGAACAGCAATTTAAAAAAAAAACCTTAAAAATACTTTCAAGATAACAGCCCACTGGCTGCTCCCACATAAAGCCCAAAACTGAAGGTTGGCCAGTGATGGAAATTGCGAGTGCAGCCTAGATTAATCTGCAACTCGTCACTAATTAATATATTAATCCAAATGTGTTATTTTAAGTGGACGATTTGACAATAATGCAGCTCGTCTGCATAATTGCAGCTGCAAAATGCTGCTTGATTTGACCAATATTTTTGGCACAACTTTAACTTTAGCTATTTAGAAAACGATCAATCAAAATCAGATCAGTTGGATTTTTGGCAATCTGTTGGTGATTAGGTAATTAGAACAAACACAAAAAAATCTAACGTAGGTCAGGTAGAACTTTTCACAGGATATTGTAAATGTGCATCTTAAAACAAGATCTAATATTATGTAAAGATGTCTGTACAATATGACAAACCATATTACATAAAGTTATCCATGGTCGTGGTGATGTAATACTATAGTATCATAATATTTTTAAAACGTATCATATTTTTGGCTGTGTATGTCTGTGCTAAAGCGTGCCTCATTACTGCTCATAATATAAATGATGGCATTAGGAAAGGTGAGGTGTTTGTGGGGGAATAGCTTTATTATGGTGATTAGTGGTTCATGACTCTAAGTCAGAATCACAAGGGGGCTTCAGTATATCCCAGGCAGCACAAGACACAAAACCTATATAATTACAGGCTTCCAGTCTGGTTTACACTTCAGTGGATAGTTCATCTGGGTAAATTCAGCTGCCATGACTTTCTAAGTCAGGCTCTTATTGTGTCAGAGCTGCACAGAATTTCCTCTTCGTTAAACAGGAGGAGAACAATTACATTCCTTACGGCCTGATGGCTGTTGTGATTTTTAACTTTTTTATATTAAAGCAATTGTACACAGAGACCATCTGCATCTCATTTCTCAGGTAAACAAGCCCCCCCCAGGACACCCTGTACCCCAGGTCCTCCCGCCGGGACCCGGGCCGGGGAATGAAACCGCGGGGTCATCCCGGAGCCAGCATGGCCCCCCATCGCTCAGGCCTTATCAGCCGCAGTCTGACAGTTCAGAAGCACAGCTGGAGGGCGGGGCCCCTGAGGGGGTGAGTCGGGCCCCAGGAGGACCCCCCCCCCCCCCCCCCCCCCGGGGGGGGGGGGGGGTATACACTCCACAGTGGTGCATCGCCACACCCCACCTGTGAAACTGGTGAAAGATGATGATTCTGACTAACTTGTTACTCACTAAATAAGAACTAATGAAATTTTGGCTGAATTGAAATGATCCTCCTATGAACATTTATGATTGTTGACAGGAATGTTAATGTTTAAAACATTTAAATACCAGCTGATAGAAGGACCATTTTGCGGTAAGAAAAGCAATATATTTCTGAAATAATCATCTTCGTTACAGTCCGCATAGCATTTAAATGGAAACCACATCAACAAATACAGATTAAAAAGATACCTGGGCAGTATACACACACACACACACAGATATACATGAAAACTGTAGGCTTAAATATGAATGATACATCAGGTTACAGTATGCCAAAGTGTTTTTATGTAGTACTTTACATCTACAGTAGGTGGCAATATTCTGTCACTTAAGATGTGAACTTTACAAAATAGATTACAGCTCCTCAAGTGGTCTTATAACTGAAGTCGGTGTCTTTTTAGGTAGATCTATGCACATATAATGTAATTTTTTTGTCTAATGCATTTATTTTGAGTTTGATTTATTCTTGAATGATTTGTTTACTGCTTGAAAAAGTTCCGCAATTATGAAGTACTTTGGTGCACCTGTGGATGTGAGCTACAATGCACTGTCATAAAATGATTTTTCATTATAAATTGTCGTGTTGTGTTGTTCTTATCAGAATTTTCACTTGATGTATAGTTTACTGTCCAAGGAAGGATTTAATGAAGGGCTAAATAAAGATTGGGATGGATGGATGGATAGATAGATAGATAGATAGATAGATAGATAGATAGATAGATAGATAGATAGATAGATAGATAAATGATGGATGGATGGATGGATATAGAGAATTCAAACACTATTACTGAAAGTAAAATTTGTATGTTGAACAGTGCATCTGATAATAGTGTTCTGATAATATTAACTGCAGCTTGAAGAACACTTACCTGAACACAATTACTGGCTTTTTTATGGATCATGTACATGAAACATGCACCTCCAAAAGCAAACATGAAAACAATCTGAGAGCAACTCCATCCTTCTGCTAAATCCTGATATTATCTGACAAGGGCAGAGAAAATGACATGATCAAGAGGCTTCTATACGTCAGAAAGTGATTTTGTAAGACACACACCTTTGGACAGCTCTTGTAATCGGCCCTTTAGAGCCAAACTGGAGGAGTTCAGAACAATCTGGAATGCATCGGGTGGGGGGGGGGGGGGTTAATCTAAAATGCAGGGAATGAAAAACAAAGCTGTAGTTTGCTATGGGTGGGTAAATGTAAAGTGCTCCTCACACCTTCTGTAACGATTTCAGTTCCAGCGTAAGTTCTGATCTCTACACACGCACATCATGATCACCATCGCTAACACATGCTAATGTGTGTTTGCACCTCCAGCAGTGAAAGGCAGCATGAAGCAGACCAATCGTCCCCGCGCTCCTCCCAACATCTGTTGAAATCAAGGACTGAATCCAGTAGGGGTTTGTACTGCCTGACATGATATGGTCCCTGGCATAGGCAAAAGATGGATGGATGGATGGATCTGAAACGTGTGCCAGAGGCATCACTAGGATGTTATCCTGGGGTGGGCATGTTAGGTGTGTTGGTGGGCACCAGTGTTCAAATTGTGTCACAGGTCTTGGGGGGTCCTTTGGTGGGGAAGTGGCGATCCGTTGGGCGGGTGGATGATCCACTTGGGTGGGCATGACGGGTTGGCACTGCCCACCAGTAGCCCCACCCATGGAACAGTGGAGCAAAACGGAACAGCAGGGTAACCCAGATACTCCGGGACCAGAGGCAGGGATCAGTTTCTGAACACATTTTGAAGGGAGAGTCCCTGCCATTCATTCAATATGGCAGCAGGTGGGCTGGGCTATCAAGCCGCCGTCTTTTCGGGCCACGGCCTGAGCTGCTGTTGGTCTCGGTTTCCACTGAGCTCCTCACTTATTCACTCATTCGCTAAAACCATCCCCTGAATTAACAGTGCAGCTTAAATGTCAGTGAATTAGGAGCTTTTTTGGAGGATTTACTGTGAAACCAAACACATTTGTTGACTAGAAAAAGTGTTTGTCTTGTTAAAAATGCTTTTTTTTGTGTCATTCTTGTAAAATTCAAAACAAATTAGCACTGTCACCAATCTATATGCTCATAAATCATACACAGGTCTGAGAAATACAGACAGCATTACTTGCTAAATTTAAATTCAATTATTAAATTTACCATTTCAAGGAGAGCCTTCCTCGTCAATTAATACAGATTCAGCTTGATTTGACTAAGCAGTGCACTTCTCCTAACAGATTCCTGTTAAATCTGTAATTTGTTGGAGCAGTAGCCTATTTTGGTAATTAATAACCCAGCTAGAACAAAAGCCAGCGATGGTAAGAGCCTGGGCTAGAGTAGGATCAAACACAGCCGTCATGTTCTTGGCAAAGAATTACATCCACAGGAGCTTCAGTGCTGTCAAAAAGAACTTTTTGTTAAACATGGATGAAAACACGATTTGTAAAAAGGTAACAAAAGTATTTTGATCGGTAATCAAATCAACACTCCAACATACTTTGGACACACATCTACAAATTTTATTACTTAAAAACCTAATAGAAACATCTCTGGGAAAAGCTTAAAATAAATATCCCATACATGATTATCCCCAAATAATGGCCACCAACTTATACTGAAGCATAACAAGGTAAGATAGAAGGTGTGTATACATAAGGTACATACAAAATTGGGAATGATTCAAGTCTTTTTTGGTATCTGTGTGATTGATAGTGTTCAGTTCAATTAAGTTACACTCCTCGTGGGTGATGAATAGTTGGGAACTGGAGAGAAAAGAGCCGGCCTGTGTTTCTCAAAGGGTGATTAGAGCAGCCCATTTTTAATGCTGGGACCGTACTTGCTTGTTTTTTCTTTTAGCTTTTTCATTCGTTCTTTCCTTTCATCTTTTAAAGTGACTGAGTTGGCTTTTGTAGTGTTTCCAGGGACTTTTCATCTGCGTTCTAAGACTGTCGGACCAAAATAAATCCACAAGGGGGGGCTGTGTGTGGGCGGCATCCCAAAGCCTGCGGCCGCAGCGTGTATCCGGAGGAGAGGCGAAGGCTTGCTGGGGGTGGGCTTCAGAAGGCTTCGGGGGGTGTGTGTGCTGGGGGGGGCGGGGGGCAGATCTCCATCTAAGAGGGGTTCCCATCCGCTTGAGCTTCCTGGTTCCCAGGAGTGTCAGCCTGCGTGGGCGGGGCCTGAGCAGAGCCTTCCCCCTCTGAAAAACACGAATCAGCACACCCCTCTGAGAACACAGCAGTCTGCACAGCCTCACTGCTGATGTCTTAATGAGTCACAGACACAAGAATACATCCGCCAGCACAGTGAATAGGGAAACTGAGTCAGTGAAGAATTTACCCTTCAGTCTACAAAACATACATAAACACAGGGAGACGAATAAAGATTTTGGGCCCAATGAAATCATATCATATTGCCCCCCCAAACGAGACTAATCCAATTAACTTTTTTAGGCCCTCTGTCACTCCACTTTATGGCACCCCCCCCCCCCACATAAACAACATAATTATTAAAGATTAATTATGCAGTGGGATACTGAAGGGTCATAAGCAGCTCAAACGCAGAAATTCTGCGACGCTGGCGATGACTAAAACCTCAGCTAACCGGGGCTGCATCACATTTCTGCTTTGATATTCTGAACATTTCAAAGTTAGCATCTTTCTCCATGGTCAATCCATCCACCTTTTCAAAATCCATTAAGGTTCAGAGGTCCCCAGAGTTATCCAGATGAGACGTGTTGTTCTTTACGGAGGTGCCAAACTGAAACAAACCCCAAAGCGGGCAAACCGAAACCTCACAGACTCCACCACCGTAACACGTACGCTTTTCGGAACCGAATGAATGACAAACGTCTCTGTGGTCATTACTCTGGAGTTTCTTTGCTCTCTGCTCAAAAATGGAGATAATATGGGGAAAAAAACAGCATCAGCATAAATAGTAGATGATTCCTTTGGCCAAAGGCTTAGAGTTCAGCTGCTCAAATCATGCATTAAAATAACACAACTCACTCTCTAAACATGTTAAATGACCATGCTGGCTGTATTGAGAACTGATAATATAGTATATTTTTATAGTATTTTATAAAAATGCTATATTTTTGAGAAAAAAAAAATCAGCAAGTGTCATATAGTTGTCGATCATTTTTACTTCCATTTTGTGCAAAGTGTAAATAGAGCAGAAAAAGCCTTTCCGTCCCCCTACCAGTCTTTCCATTTCTGATGTGACTCTCTATCATAGATAAGAGCAGCTAGCAACAGTGCTAAACCTCATAGCATGATGAAGGAACACGCACCGAAAAAACAGTAAAAATGACCATTCTCTCACTGAACACTCCTCAAAACCCCTTCAGTGAATAAATGCTTTTTTCTCTGTGACCACTGCAAGAACAGAGGAGCATCAGCTCACAAACCAGGACCTTTCAGACCATTTCAGGTATGTACATTTTCATCCTTCAGCACTCACTATACAACTTCACCACGTAATGAGAACAGAGAAGGGCCCTCTAGTATGATTAATGAACTACTTCACTCGTCACTTACATAACCGTACCATATGGTGACTCATAGTCGAGGGACATGCCTATGTATTGTTGACACAATGAGCGGCCAGGGTGCAGCGCCGCCCTAGAGGCTGGTACGCACATTGACGCACTTACCTTCTGACTTCAGGTTCATCTCAGACATGTCTTTGGTTAGCTCGCCCGTGCCCACGGTAACGCCCTCTCCTTTAATGTCAGGCACCGCGTTCCTGCGGCCTGTCCGATCGCAGGTAATGAAATCCGAATATGACGTCTCCACATCCATCATCTGTCCATGGCCAAAGCTCTCATTACATCTGGATGGGGGGGGTGGGGTGGGTGGGGGTAGGTAAAGAAGATGCACAGGTGAGTCAGGAACCTTCAGGAGGAATACACTTGTTATTGTGCTGCACTTGAAACAAGAGGTAAATGGATCCCCCCCAGAAGGTTCAGTGGGAGGCTCATGGAATCAAATTACAAGCATGAAATGAATACAGTATATACAGATTGGCTGGTGACTGGACCCAGAAGAACTAGATTAGAGTCTCAGTTCCCTTCTAGGGCCCCATATGTAAGAGACCCATCTCAGAGGCCCAGGGAAGGAAGCAGGTCAAGCTCTGACCCCTTTATAGCCTCATGGTGGGACACTGTCGCAGAGCTTTGTTCCGTGAGGAACATCATGTACAGTCTAAACTAGCTATTTTTGGGAAAGAATGAAGATCCAAATGATGGCATATTTGACAATGAACACAAAAAGCTGGGGCTTAAGAAGTGCTTCACGATATAAGTGCACATATACTTACACATATACATATACTTACACATATACATATACTTACACATATACATATACTTCAGTGCACATACACTTACGCGCATTTCAGTTACAATGTTCACGGTTCCTGTACAGGCTAAATTCAACAACCTTTAATTTAATATCCTTTAGATGTGGCGTTGATATTTCTAATGTTGCAGCAAATCCAATCTTTGGATGAAAACGTGTTATTTTAAGAGCAAAGACCATTATCTCTGAGTGTAATAAACCCAGTCATACAGAAAGAAGATCCCACACAAGCAATACACCCTTTATCAGCAAAATAATCATAATCAGCTTCAATCAGCCTAAACAATGAACCATTTAAATTTAATGAACCTTAGTCTGCTTGTCATCCTTTGCTAAGTTGCTGGTTTTAGCTAAGAAACGTGAAAAAGTGTGCAATGGCTGGGAATATTTTGTGAAAGAAAGAGTGAGAGATAAAGACAGAGAGGCAGAGCGGGAGAGAGAAAGACAGAGAGGCAAAGCAGGAGAGAGAAAGACAGAGAGGCAGAGCGGGAGAGAGAAAGACAGAGAGGCAGAGCGGGAGAGAGAAAGACAGAGAGGCAGAGCGGGAGAGAGAAAGACAGAGAGGCAGAGCGGGAGAGAGAAAAGCCCAGTATTGAATCTATTGAGCTCACATTAGTACATTAGTCATTCATTCCCTTTTCGCCCTGCACTTTAAAGCTGGTATTTAACTGGGTCATGAATCCTGCCAACAAGAAAGGCACCATACAGCTGCAGAGGCTGGAAGAGGGGTTGAAAGAGAGAGAAAGAGAGAGAGAGAACAAAACACTAGATTGCTTGCAAAATGGAGAAGCTGGAGACCAGCTTCAGCTCCCACTCAGAGTCACACTGGGTGCCCACTGTGAGAGTCAAAGTAGCAATGTGGAAGACTCTGTCTAATGGCTCTTCTGTGCATTATCAATATAATACTTTTACATACAGTGGAAAGTTCTATGTGATGACTAGAAGAGCCTGTGGGAGGGGAATATATGCCTATAAAAAGGGGCGGGGCCACATGAGTGCTGGCCCTAGCTGAAACCTGATTGGCCCCCTGAGTGCCCCCTCCTCTGTCATTCAAATATCATTGGCTAATGATAAAGTTATCCCCTGAGTATGAATTATGACCCATGTAATGCCGCTCACCTTACATCCTGGAATCACCCCTACTATAGAATAAGACCAGAAAGCTGCCTTTGCAGTGACACCACAACCCAAGGCCATACTGGTTCCTAAACATTTGACACACATCCCTCAAACATCATAGCTCTCCAAACACAGCTCTAGTTTTCCTTTCATGCAATCAATGCCAAATGGAAACACTGTTCCCCAGACTCTATGGGAATCCGAGCTTTGCAAAAGCAGAAAGCAAGAACCCAGGAAATAAGAGTCAGGTCCCAGGGGTAGTGATACCATCAGACATCTCTCTTCTCCCCCTACTGGTGGGCCCCAGTATTGCACACCCAACAGCGTCTGTTTACCAGTTTCGGGGTGCTCTTTGTTGGTTTTCCAAACACAACCTGGCCACCATTGCTGTGGAGCCTACTCAGAAATTCCAGGTTTGAGAAGCTCTACTTGTGTCCTCCCATAGGCACAGCTTTTGGTTGGGTCAAGAAAATTTAGAACAGGGCATGACATATGGTCTGCCAACGTCCCGTAGATACTGACGTGGGATGTGGTCCCCGGATAACACAACCACAAACTCACTAGCTTGTTAACAGAAAACCACACCTCTGGCACAGAGCCACATGTCCCAGGAGTCTCTGAGATCATTTGCAGCCCCATGTCCATTCGGCCAACGTAGGAAGAGTGCAGCCCGAAGAGCTTGTGGTGGCACCAATGCTGGACGCGAGCTGCTTGGTGAAGCATGAAGCAGAGAGAGACTGATCTAGCTCAACACGCTTCGATTACAGCACCCCAATGTTCTACAAGGGATCCTTAATTCCATTCACGTGACCACCTAATGGGCAGCCACCGAAGCGTTTCTGTTTTTAAACCACGGCATCACGGTTATCCCACACGCGAATGTGCCCGGCATTTCTTGGCTCGATGCAGGAGAGGTCATACCAGGCGCGAATGAAAGATGGCATCGGTAAGAGGACAGCCTTGACCACCGGGTGACTCGTAGGCGTCCGGGAAAAGGGTGAGGCTACGGACAGCTGGGCCAGAGGGGACTGAAAGCTCGGCTAATTATACATCGATGCGCTTTTAGAGGCAGCAGACGAAATGAGGCGGCAGGCGGTTCCGTCAATCGGCTACATGCCGGACTTGCAGCACGTCAGGATATCAGAGCGGGCTGTAATGGCGGAAAAAACCCTGAGATGCTTCGCCCCCGCACTGCTCTGAACCCGTCTCCCCTCCGGTGCAGTCATTTCCTTGGAATGTCTCACCTGGGGATTGTATTTTCCGCACCGTACTAGTCAGAAATGAAAGCCTAGATAGGTTTCATTTTGAAAGCAGTGCATACCAATTTAAGGGAAGACTGCGTAGCACCAGTGCGGATTCAAGCTGGACAGGCTACAAGGCTGATAAGGACATTTCGAAAGTATGGCACCGCTAGAGAATTTGGGCCCCACGAAAGCATATCATATTGGGCCCCCAATCCAGACCAATCCAATTATGTTACAAATCGTTTTAGGGCCCCTATCACTCAGGGGCCTTGGAATTGTCCTAAATAAACCCCCTTTACGGCCCCCTGCTTGCTTCAAAGTGCAAGTGGGGAATCACATGCACGGAAATTTAATTTGTTCCCACGAGTAACTTCATTGATTCCCACCGGGTTATAGCAAGGAGCTATTGACCACTCGCGGCAACTCTACCTACCACGGCTTTCGGACACATTTCTTTCATCTGTATGACTCAATATAATGAAACACAACCATTTCCTGATCAAATGAGAATACAATAACTGGATATAATGATTTACGAGCACATCGTAGGAAGGATTGGAATTTCTTTTTGGCATCTAAATTTCCTAGGCAGCATAAAAATGTTTCTCAGAAGCCCTTGATGTGTTTGTCCATCCATGCAATTTGAGGCAAATGGATGTGCGGGCACAGACAAGGCTTTTACAGCAATTTGGTGGGGAAATTCCATAGTGCAATCTTATGATATTATCACAAAAAGCTCTGTTAACTGAAAATAGCAGTTTTATTTATGTAATGGCTATCTTTCATTGAAAGACAGTGTTCAGCAAGGTAGGGAAAAAATACAAGGCACAAAACCTTTCACATCCCACTCGTAAAACTGCCCTTAAGGACTTAACTGTATATGAGTCACACCGTAACACTGTTGTTTTTCAGAGAAAGCTCGTTAGGCTTCATTCTCTGCTCATTAATTAGGCCTTCTCCAGCTGCGTTGCCAGCAGACTCGGATAAACAAAGCGGCACAGGAATGGGCCTCGGGTTAATAAGCACGTTTCCACATAAAGAAGGTCCTAATTGCTCGTGGTTACGGCACAGTGGGAACTGCAGACAAGTTGAGAGGAAACGACTTATGCATTCAGAGATCTGACTAAAGTAAAACACACCAACAAAAAAAACCTACAAATTTATTTACAAACTGTTTAGCGAAGGGGAAATTTGCTGATTATGTAGGCTCATGCTTCAACAGCATGAAAGTAAATGAATAGTTTTGTGTATCATGTTCCTCTCTGTATAATAATACACTACTATGTACAGTCATATTCAAAAAAGACTATTACAGTTCAGTGTAAACACAACCTCTCACATCTCAAGCTGAAATTTTCAAGTTGAACTGTGACTAGACTAACCTTTGCGTGGTTTGAAAGTAACAGGCTGTGAATGCACCTTTTTGGTGTTCTCTTACCTTCCCTCTCGGCCAGTTTTCCTTCGCTCTGCAATGAAGTGATACTGGAAGCTCGGTGCCAAATGCCCCGCGAGAAGAAGCGAATGGGAAGGGAAACTCTACACAGCTGCCGTCGTGCCAGGTGCACACGCTCTTACCCATGATGCACCACCGCAAGCTCTACATTCCTGTGGACACGGAACCAGGCTACACCATCCTGATGGGGGGGGGCAACCTTATTGTGGGCAGGTTGTTTAGTCTTCTGTGGCCTAAATACCAAACACACCTGCACATTTATCCAGATGCACATTTGCACATTTCGGTAGAATTCTGAGTGTCAAGGTTCATTTTCTCAGAACTTAATCTCTGTTCCCTTAACTGCTACACATCCTGCTTGTAGCCCAACTGGCCTGCCCTCTTTTAATTTAAGGATCATATTCACACTTACATGATACCATACGTTCATACTTGCTAGTCAGTGTCTTTACCATTGTTTATCTTATCTTAAAATGAACTAATCCAGGCCAAATAAAATCCTGGATGAATAAAAAGAGTGAATTAGCAGGTAGGAAGTGAGTAGCAGAGGCCAGAGGAAGGGACTGACTTCAGCAGAGACATAAAAATTTATGTAACTCGATGATTCAAATGACTGTAAAGATTCCCAGGAAGGACTGCCAAGAGATCAACAATGGA